AGTATGGAACAGACTGTCAAAAGAACATGACTGTGTATGTGGACCTGGTTGTTCTATTCTACAGTAACAAATAATGGGGTGAGATTGCTAGGAGAAAGAAAAAGAATCTGTATGGTAGGAAAAAAAAAAAGTAACAATGGTAGTAATAAAGAAATGAAATAGATTGCTTGGAAAGGTTATGGACTTTTTGTTACTGACTAGTTGGTCTGGGGAGAATAGCATGGTCAGGAAAACACCTTCCCAACCTCTGACTTCCTTGCTTTCTGACAGATAAAATTTTGTACAAGAATTCTCACTCTAATGCTGTGCTGGGATATACATCAGTAGTTTATTTTGGTGTTTATTTTGGTGTTTGGTGAAAAGTAGCCTCATTCGTCACATTGTTAAGGTATTTTTTCTCTGAAAGAAAAAAGTAGGCTTGTCAAATAAGAGTATTTGCAGAAAGCACACGTGAAAAAGATTCACCTATTCATTCATTTCTTCTTTTTTTTAAAAATATTTTAAAGACTAAACAGTTTTGCCCATTTCTTGTCTTCCCTGACTCTAGTTTATAACTGTACTTTGTTTATTTGTTTTCTTTTATTCCACTTTACTGCAGCGCGAAACATTCAGGGTTACTTAATTGGAGGAGGAGTTTCCTTGGTATTTCTAGTATGTTTTACTCTCTTTATCTACAAGATCTTCAAAATTGATATTGTGCTTTGGTATCGGGACTCCTGCCATCCTTTCCTGGGTAAAAAAGGTATGTTTGTGTAACAATGCTGACTGTTGTATTGAGCTTCCATCTTCCTTTGCATAGCAGTGAGTTAACTTCATGGGGTGTGATTGGTCTTCCTTGGAAATTTTGACAGGATAATATGTTTTTAAGATGTTTAAAATTAGTTCAGATAACAAAAGCATGATAAACAATGATTCAAGTGGGGCAAAAAACCCCAGAGTTCAGAGATCTTTGTTTGTCCGTTTGTTTGCTTCCTTGCTTTCGTATCTTTAGAATTCATTTTTATTTGTCCTATTGCTCATTCCTTAGTTTCAGATGAGAAGATCTATGATGCTTATGTTCTGTATCCAAAGAACAGAGAGAGCTGCTTGTACTCATCAGATATTTTTGCCCTGAAAATACTTCCAGAGGTCTTAGAAAGACAGTGTGGATATAACCTCTTTATATTTGGGAGGGATGATTTACCAGGAGAAGGTAAGCTATCTGAAGACAAACTGGACTTGAGTTTTCTTGTTGACCTGCAAATACAATTGAGAAACAGGCAATCAGGTGGGATTCTAAATATCTCTCACCATCAGATGAACTATGATTCTCTTACTCACTTTGATGGAGAATGAGAGATACAGCACCAGGTGCTTCCACAACCTCTCTTTATCTCAGCCTAGACATCTAGAGATGGAACAATGCTGAGGGGAAGAGGAGTTGAAATTTTGATTGTGAATGATGACTAATGGCAGGAAACATGGAAAAGTAGTTCTCATGAGCAGTGTGAAAAAAGCCTATTGCTTTGAGGTGCCATTTAAAAGGATGATGTCTATTGTTTCATTTTTATTTGCTCTAAGATTTGCTGTCAAACGAGCAGGATGCAATAAAGGATATAATGGATGCTTAGACAGTGCAGATGGAAAAAACCAAAACTACACCAAGTTACCAGGAACAATCAGCTGTATCAAAGACTTTGTCCCTTGTAAAAGTTCTTAGAAAGCCTTCCCTTCCTTACAAGACTTAAAAATCCTTGTGGATTAAAAATCTTCGGTGTGTATGTGTGCATCAAATTTAGTATCCGAGACTGAAAATTACAAAACCTATCCCACTGACTGCTTCCGTGAGGTGAAATGATTAAAGGCGTCTGAATCCTTCGGGTCTTATGACTTTAAAAAGATAATACTGAGACTGAATAAATTTGAAGAGTAGGCCAAAACCAGAAGTTTTTATTTAAAAAACAATTGTGTATGAACCTACTTACATGAGGTGGTCCGTGGATACTCTTTTTTTTTTTTTTTTTTATATTTGAAGGGGTTTGGTAGTGGTTTGAGGAGGAAGGGTTCCCTGAGAAGTAGAATTTAAAGTGCTGCTTAATTTTTCCAGCTTGAAAAAATGCAATAATCTGTTCTCAGGGTTGAGCCACATGGCTTTTGTGTGGTATTTACCATATTTTACTGTTTGAGACTTAATTGACTGGCATGACATTGAAGGGAGGATTCTTTTCTTTCTCTTCTACTTACATCTAACAAAAGCAGATGAGCATATCAGAACAGGCTGTTTAAGGTAAAAGGTCCTGTGGTTCTGGAACTTGTTTTTTTGCATTTGTACCTATGATGGCAATAAAATGGCATTAGCAAGATATGTAGTAGATAGTTGGCAGCTCTCCTTTGTTTATGCAAAATAGGAAAATAGACATGCAGTCTAATGGGGTCACATTGTTGCATTGGCCAAATCTCTAGGGTTGGCTAACCCAAGGTAACTGCTTGCATGCTCCTATCCTATCCCTATTTGTGATGTAAAGTGTGTTGGCTTAAATATCAAACAATGAATGAGCCAGCTGCAAAATGTTGGTAACATAACGTAGAAACATACAATCTTATTTTTGCACAACTTTTTTTTTTTTTTTTTTACAGCTGTGATCAGTGTTGCTGATGAAAAAATCCGTCAAAGTAGAAGAGTGATAATTGTTTTAGTACCAGAGCCCTCCTGTTATAGCATTCTAGAAGATGTGTCTGAAAAGCAGCTAGCCATGTATAATGCTCTTATCCAAGATGGCATTAAAGTAATTCTCATTGAACTTGAAAAAATACAAGATTATGCAATCATGCCGGAATCCATCAAATATATTAAGCAAAAGCATGGGGCTATCCGATGGAAAGGGGACTTCTCAGAAAGGTCTCACTCAGCAGGTACCAGATTCTGGAAGAAAGTGCGCTACCACATGCCATCCAGAAAAAGTGAATCTTTGTCAGGATTGCATTTGTTACCAAAAGACTTGAATTCACCTTAAATAACAAAAGGGAAATGACACTTAGTGACCGATTCAGTTCACATAGTTGGTGATGGACTGACTGAAAGTCACGCGCATCTGTTTTGTGCAATCTTATCCAGATTTTCTTAAGTGAAGGTACTACAGCTTTATCTACAGATGTGAATTTTTTTTTCTTCTGGCTGGATCAAAAGAAAAACTTGAAATATCATCAGTAGCACATGTAGGAAGCACACGAGTACTTTTCCAAGAATTGCACTGTGATTTGGTGGAATTCTCATAGTGTTGAAAATAGGAGGCGAATCCCCAGAAAACTTGTTTTTTTACAAGTAAAGTCTGGATATGAAGAGAATCATATTAATTATAATCATGATATTATGGAATGGGCATGGTTGATGCCAGTAAATATTTGTTTCATTTTTTTTAATGACACAAAACTTTTCTTTGTTGCAAGTTTGTTATTTGCCTTGTTCGGTTTACTGAAAGATAAATTCCCCTGTGGTACTGCCTCATTGTGCTGTCGTCCAAGAGAAAAGGTAAGAGACAATCCCAGCCCCCCCAGAGTGCTGTTGAACCTGAAAAAGCATACTCTTCTCTGGTCTTTTTTACATTTTAAAGAACGGTGCCATTTTTAGTCACTTGTCGCATACAGACATCGGAAAAATACCTTTGTAATGCTTTTTTGAGTCAAAAAATTAATCTCCACTGGACTTTTTTTTTTTTCCCAATTTAGTGGCTTAATGTATTTTTTTACCCAAGTGGAACAATTGGCTAATGACACAAGAGCCTCTCATGGGGCTACAGGATGATTGACTTCGTCTGCCTTACCTTAAGGACCACATCAATGGGCTTCAGGGCACCCATTTCTTGTGGGTTGCTGGTACTGAAGGAGAGCAGATCTTTCCTCCTGTTCCTGGCCAGAGGGCTGGCTCTAGCATTTGTCAGCTCTGAAAGCTGAAGCTGGCTGAACACACTAATGTGGCAGAAATTGTCCTTTTCCTTGGGTTAATGTTCTCCCAGATTAGTGTGTTCCTGGCTCCCAAAGGGTTCAGAGTGCAGTCAGAGAAGTGTGATGAGACCATGCTTTTCAGCTCCAGATATTCTTACAAAACAGAGCTAAAATAGCATTGCTGCTCAAGTACTCCTTGAAGTGAGAGAGAGAGAGAGAGAGAGAGAGAGAGAGAAATGCCCTGTGTTACCCCCTGCAGCTGCTTGCTTTTGTCCTTTCTCTCTGCCCTGATGATGTAAAGAATCAGCGGTGACTGTGTACTGGAGGCTGCAGTCACAGTTTTCCAAACAGCTGTTTGGGAAATGAAGTTGTTAAAACTTAGTGTGTATGTTGAATCCTTTATCTTCCATTTTAAAGGTTTTTTACAGTATTACTTATGCCACAGCTGTTAACTCTGAAGTTATGTTTGACTTGTGTGTAGGCAGTGACATAGTTTGCAACGTTCAGTTCTTTTTTCAGGGCAGGGAATTGACTTGATTGATTAAAAAAATTAATTATCAGACCTCTTTCATGCTATGTTTATAGCTATGAATTTTATAGAAAAGGGAGATGAAAGCCAAATTGCCTGTGCTTTTCAGTCTGTCCTTGAAAGTTACATTTTTAAGCGATGAAATCTTGTTGTATATGGAAGCCTCAGGATTTGACTGTTACTGCCTCTAACTGCTGCTTGCAACTCTGAATTCCTGTCTGTGTCCCTTGCAGCACTTTTTGCTCTCATCCCATTTAAACTCCAGCCTATCTTTTCCCATGATGTTCCCTTATCTTGAAACAAGCAACTTACTGTTATATCAAACTCCATCACTTTCCAAACTCTCCTTGAAGATTGTTGCTAATACAGTATCAGGCAGAAATTTTTCCTTTGGTAAAAAAAAATCTCTTCATTTCAGGATAGGAGGGGGAAAAAGTGTTTGAAACATCAGACTATTTCAAACTGTCATGGTACTGAAGTGCCATGTCTGTATAGACCAATGCAAAGGCTTATAGTCTCTTCTCGTTCTTGTTTTAGTCATGAGAGAAGTGTCAAGGGAGGATCAGTCCTAATCATGAAGTACCACATTCACTTAGCTGTTGCACACAGTCTGCTTTGAAATATGCTGTGTGTTCAGTGGCAGCCTGTTGTAGGGTAAAAGAGCCTTAAGGTCCATCTGAAGTTACTGAGAACCATCTGAGCGAGGCTCATTGTTATGGTTCACATCAATAGAAGAATTATATAGGACTGAAGCCATATGGTTTGGTTACAGAACTCTTCCGTAAGAAGATCCCTGTATCAAATGTGAAGACCAGACACTGGCAGTATGGTATTTGTGCTCTGAGGACTAGGGTGTAATACTGACATTGTGCTTCCACCTTGACAGCTCATGGTATGCAGTCCAGCCAATAGAGTTCCAGCAACCTCAAGCCTCCTGAATTACTTCTGCTGACTGGAATAGATTGAATGGAAAACTGCTACTTGTTATCCCTACCTTTAGGGATTGGGAAAGTTATTTTACTGAGCCAAAATACTGGTTTTTAAAAAATATTTGTTCCTTTTGATATACTTGCACAAATGATGCTAAAGTTTTCATGTGTGTTATGTAAAGGCACTTTGAAGAAAGGTGCATTTTTAAATTCAATAAAGGCACTACAAAGTTTTTTCACATGGCACTGTTGTTTTTTTCCCCCTCTCATTCCTCCACTGAAGCATGCTGAGAAAAACAGCAAGCAGCAGTTGGGACTCAAAGTGTCTTAACAAGACTGCTGCAGTAATCTTCATTCAGGCTGCTGAACCATTGGCTTTATGTGGTTGTGGCACAACATTAGCACTAACCACCTTGCCCTGTCTGGGCAAAGAGGAGCTGTGAGCTTGGCTCTGTTATGTCCTGTGCTCTCCTTGCAGCAAGGTGAAGCTAGAGCAGCTCCAAGGTGCTGCGTCGCTCTCTGGGACCAGCATGGTTCCCAGCAGTGTCCCAGTGAGCAGTCTTCTGCTGCAGCTCCTCCAGAGCTGGGGGGAAATGCAGGAGACCTCAAATGGAGGAAATGTGTGAGAGGCACCCTTCTCTGCTTGACTCCTGGGGCAAGTGCTGACTCATCTGCTCAAGGAAAGCCACAGCCTTTGCAGTGGGGCTGTAGAGACTGGTCTGGCATAAGACTGCATGTTGATTTCATAGGGGCTAATGTGCTTACTATAGGGTGTAAAGCATCATTTCCAGTCCTAATAGATAAAATGGTCTATACTTTTTGTGCTCTGTTTTGAACTCCTTGAAAGCTGTTACTGGATACCTTCTTCTAGTACAAGTAATGCCAGCTCTGTTTACTTGCTCATTTAATACTGGACTTGTCTTTTCATGCAAGATAGATAAGAAAGCCATTAGATAAGTTTTTCTGAAATGAATTTTTATATACCTGTGTAACACTCACAGTGGGGAGGTTGGGGTTTTTTTGAGTCCAGGAACTTCTTTTAACTTCTGTCTAACCAGCGGCAGTAAGTAATTCTGTGTTTGCATTGTCGTGTGAAATCTCCCAAATGAAGTGTTTTCAAGACCTCTATTGATAATGATTTTGCTTCTTTTCAGACCTAATCTGTATTATACATCTGTCTAACCCAGGCAAGGGTTCAGGCTGTAAATTAATGTGTGTTTGAAGGTCCCGTGCATTTGTTGCTTCACCTTAGGAAGGGGATCACTGTAAGAATCACTTCCATGCTGGCAGCAGCATGTCATGAATTCCTTTTAAACAGAAGCTGGTAGATGACTTGCTGTTCATTCCCCACCTCTTCCAAGATGCAGCACCTTTGAACTAAGTCTGCCTACTTAGAGATTAAAAGATTGGGGTGGGAAGAATCAAGTCAAAGAAAATCACTGTTCCCTGGTAATTGCACTCAGCATGGTATACTGCAAGAGCTGAAGCCAGCCTGACCAGCAAATTCCTGCCTGGACTAGAGGAACACTAGGAAAGTGGCCAGTGCTGTGACAAAGCCCTGCCATGTGAGCTTTTCAAGTCTTACACATTAGCTTAGTCCCATCCTCCTCAAAACCATTGCAAGCAAAATGGTTGCAATCCTTACTTTCCATTCAGTAAGGAGAATAAAGAAGATCTCCATGTGAGGTGAGTAAAGCTAATGTTTTCTGGGTAATGAAATTAAAGGGAAGCAAATTAACCAAACCCAAGCCTCTGGATGAAGCAAGAGACAGAAAGTGGGTTGGGGAAAAAAAAGAAAGCCAGTGACTTCAGGAGGACACTAAAGCAGACGTCCAGAGAATCAGTCTAATTTCTGCACATAAAATGAACTCAGGAATAAGATTTTAATGGAAGTTTATGATGCTTATGATGTAAAATTTGCAAGTTTTCTTTATTAAATTTTTGTTTTGTGTGTGTTCTGTGTTTGGATGTTTGTCTTGCAAGAGCTTTAAAGAGACTGTTCAGCACCTACACACTTTTTTCTGTAGTTTTGTGCTTGCTCTTTTTTTTGAAATTCTGGTTTCATTTTGTTCTAATGAAATGGAAACTTCCCCTTTCTAAAAATATAGAGATGATTTTAACAAGGCATTTTATAAGTCTTGTCTAGTATTTGCAGAGAACGGGTGGTCTCTTCTTACTGATGGTTTATAAATATCAGGGCCCCTAGGGCAGAAATAAACCTTAACTGCCCTCCTTAGGGCCCAAGAGTCCCACTTATCCCTGTGTTGTATTTTTCAGCCTAGCTGGAACTAAAGCACCATGTAGTCACTTGCTCAGCCCCCCTTTCTGTCCCCCCATCCCCACTGAAATTGGGAGGAGAATCGAAAGTAAAACTTGTAGTTTGAGGTAAGAACAATTTAATAATTGAAAACAAAGTAAAATAGATTAATAATGGTAAATAATAATAATAATAATAATAAAAAAGGAAAGAGGAAAAAAGCCAAACATCCACCCCTGCCCCCCTTCTGGGTAACTTCCACACTTTCTTTATATACTTGCCATGATGTTCTATGGTATGGAATATCCCTTTGGCCAGTTGGGGTCATCTGTCCTGGCTCAACTCCCTCCCAGTTTTCTTTTGTTAGCAAAACCCAAAACATCACTATGTTTTGTACTGACATACTCTCATTCTGAATCAGAACTACAACACTGTACCAGCTACTGAGAAGAAATAGCTCTATCACAGCAGAAACTAAGACACCCTGCTTCCTTTCTGGGGCCACTGGGATGGAGCTGCCAGCCCTTGTGGTGTCCTGACAGACAGTGAAGTGTCTATCAAAAAAACTTTAGCTTGACTTGGTGCAGAAGTAATGAGAAATGCCTGTGATGAGAAGGAGCTATCCAGAGCACATCCCTGTGAGAAGGTGTTATGGTTTGTTCTTGCAGGTGAAGACTAGGAAACCTGAGCAAGTATCACACAGAGGAGATGTCTCTTTCCCTCTCATTTTGTTACCAGATGCAAGAAAACAAAACAAACTGATCAAAATAAAACCCAAATCCAAAAAAACAAACAAAAGCAATTCTTCACAAAACTGAAATGGATATTGTGGTAGAAATTCAAGAATACTTTAGTATTTCAGTTCCCAATCACTGATGGGGCCTTCCGTTCTGATTTTGACGAGGTTAATTTTGCTGTGACTACCATCTGTCAGGGATGAGCATCTCTTAAAACCTAAAGAATTATGCTAACTCCATAGTGAGAGGTGTTTGAGCTAAGCTATAGTTCCAGCAAAGCTTTTTAAATTAAAGGTGATTATTTTTTTTCTTGGTAAGTTCTCTATTGTTCTCCTGCTTTTTGTAGAAAGCCAAGAAGAGATGGTGACTGTGCTATGACCATTTAATTGCATACAGGAGGTTTGTGTCCCATTTTGTGAGTATGCATCTTCCTGGAGATGCCTTGGGAGCTGGAACTCTCTTAACCCCCAGTCTGTCATTCGATAGACATACATGGTAAGCTTCAAATGAGTGCGATGGATGACTACCAGACTTATCCAAAACACCTTCCAATCATCAGCAGCCTTGAGAGAATAACCCTGATATGAAGAACATTGCTCTACTGATGCAGAGGACCCTAGGCTCTGACTGACAGACCAGTGGGGACAAGTAACCTGACTGGCTTGCCCTTGCCCCATTCCAGCTCGAATCTCACACGAGCTCACACAGTTTGCACACTGCCTCCGGTGCAGTGCAAAGGGGAGTGCTGTGCTCCTGCACCTGCCTGCTCTGCTCAGTGGTTTTACTGCAGGATTCAGTTTTTCAGTGGGTATGAGTGGTTTGTCCCAAGTTATACCTGACTGCGTTTTGATCCTTTTGTCTGAAGTTTCTTACATGATTAAAAAAACAATAAATAGTGAAGCCAAACAAATGAGAGAGGGGAGGACAGCAGCAGCGGTAATTACTTTTTTTTATAAGATTGCTTGTTTTGTGTAGGTACATCAGACAGCAGAGGATTTGCTTTTGAATGCAATACTACTTCCCTAACATGGTGTACTGGTTTCATTAGAAGTTAATGATAAAATAGTATTTAGGAAAAGGATGAAATAATATAAATGTGACATACCAAAATGTTTACTCAATGGCTTGGGTTTTTTTTCATTACATGACAAGCTGTAAAAAATTATTTTTAAATGTCTTCATCATCATCATGGCTAGGCTTCGCGAATGAAGATTTGGGAAGGACTCTACCCACACCTGCTACAAGCACGCTGGTGGCTTAAAAAGGCCAGTGCGAGACAGACAAGTCTGGTTGCATTATTAGAATAAGAAACCCTTAATAAAAATACACAACTGAGCTTTATGCAGTGCAACACAAGTAACAGATGCAGGTCACTGTGTCCTTCTCAGCTTTGTAGTTTCAGCTTCAAATGTGAGTTTTCAATATACAAAAATTAGTTTGAGGACATTCCTGTATTGCCTCCTTTAACTCACTACACTTCCTGATTCAGGGGATACTGTTCATCATGTAAAGCAGACCTTTTTTTCATGGCTAGGCTTCGTGAACGAAGATTTGGGAAGGGCTCTACCCACGTTTGTTACAAGCACACTGGTGGCTAAAAAGACCAATATGAGATAGACAAGTCTGGTTGCAAAAGGCACAGCAGAAAGACTCCTTAGGTGGTATATTCTGCAAGGCACGAATCTTTTTGCGTTGTCTTTTCTCCTCGAGAGTGATCCTGCGTGTGTTCTCAAAAGCATCAGCAGTGTTATAGGTCTGGAGACATCCAGACCTCCCGACTGGAGGCCAGAGTAGACCAGTTATGGTGATCGATATGGCCAAGGCTGAGATGTTGTTTCAGGGAGTCCTTGTATCTTCTCTTCAGGGCTCCTCTCTTGTGGCAGCCAGTGGCAAGTTCACCATATAGCAAGATCTTAGGGAGGCGGTGGTCCTTCATCCTTGAGATGTGCCCTGCCCAGCTCAGCTGTGTTCTCAGTAACATGGCCTCAATGCTTGTGACTGCTGCTTGTTCAAGAACAGATGTATTGGTCCAATAATCTGACCGGTGGATGTTTAGGATTGTGCAGAGGCAGTGTTGATGGAAGCGTTCTAGGAGTTGCAGGTGGTGGCGGTAGATGACCCATGATTTGGAACCATATAAGAGAGTAGACAGCACAATGGCTCTGTAAACACTGATCTTTGTACTTTTCTTCAAGTGTTTATTCCATCATCCCTATATCACCATTGGTGAATCAGTGCTCAAA